GAATTGGGTGAGAGACGGTGTCGAAGGCCTTCCAAAAGTCCAGAAAGTCCACTGCTACCCCTGCATCTAAGGATTTGGTGACCTGGTCATAGAAGGCCACCAGGTTGGTCTGACAGGACCTGCCGCTAATGAACCCATGCTGGTTGCCCCTAAGCATAACCTCCCCCGCTGGACTGAGGTAAGACTAACTGGCCTATAGTTTCCTGGGTCCTCTTTCCTCCCTTTCGTGAAGATGGGAACCACATTGGCTCTTTTCTAGTCCTCTGCCACCACACCAGAGCGCCACGAGTGCTCGTAAAGCTGTGCCAGGGGTCCCGCTAGGACCTCAGCTAATTCCCTCAGCACTCTGGGGTGGAGATCATCCAGACCAGCCTGTTTAAATATGCCCAGTCCCTCCAGAAGTGCTGAGTAAAGAATAGCCATTTTAAAAAGAGGAACACCTTTTGTATAGAAACCAGTTGCAAAATTCTAGCTACATCTGTTTCTACTTCTCTTAAAATCCTGACAATTAAAAAAGGGGCAAAAAAATAAAGATGTTCTAAGAATTTCCCATAGCAGTCAGAAGCAATATCATCATAAAAAGAAAGAAAGATTAATGCATGCATGAAAACTTAATTCACAAACATGTGATCCTACCAACATTATTCCATAAAAGTTGTTGAACCAGACTTATTATAAAAGGTGTCAGACACCTTTGAGTAGTCAACCTCTGAATAAAGTTATGGCTAGAAAAATGGTCTCTCTGAAATAACCCACTAGTACTCTCAGTTCATCTCATCTTCTCCAAGGAAACACCAGCAGTAAGATAGCTGAGAATTAAGAAACTATAAAACATCCAAATGCAACAACCCTTCCAAAGCACTGCCAAGACATAACATTTAAGCAAATCTTTTGTTAACAGCTAAACGAGAGTACTCTTAACACTAAACTGCTCACTACACTATAACTCCTCAGGAAGAGGCATAAAGGTCGCCTTGGTAACATTAAGTAGATTTAGTCTGAATTCAAGATCATTAATATTTATTAATCTATGCTTCTTAAACCTGCTGGTCAAGTAGTCTTGAATGGGTTTAGTATCTGGGTTAACGCCTTTTTATAGTTTCACAGATTCACCATACTTAAATTCCTTTAGCCATCAAGAGCTGTAACAGAGGATACTTTAGAACAGGACTTCTGTTATTACTTAGAGCAGAATTGTTTATCACTGCCCTGGAATGACACTCAAAAGGTGTTTTATATCCATCCATCTCCATCTAGATCCCTCTCTCTCTCTCTCTCCATAGCTCCACCCCCCCCATATATAGCTCCACCCCCCCATATATATATAGCTCCACCCCGCCCCCCCTCTAGATCTCTCTCTCTCTATAGCTCCATCCATGTGTCAGGTACAAACTGGCAACAGTGCCGCATGCACACCCTTGCCTGTGCCCCATCCAGATCACTCGAAACCCCACACTCGTGAGAAACTAACCTTGAAAAATCCTGGTACCATGACTACGTAGACGTCAAAGAAAGATACCGGTGCCCAGAGTAACTAAAATGTAAATTAGTGTGGTCCCAAAATTAGCTGACTCAAATGAAACTGTAAAATCAAACTGATGTGCCACGCTCGCCCTCTTGTGACCAAACAGGCTCAGTACCACACAAATAAAAAC